TGCTGGCGCCGCAAGGTGGAGGATTAGCCTAGTGAGCCGCGGTGCTGGCCAGTATTTTTTTTGTTTGTTCTACTTAATACTTTTGGTTGAATACTGTAATCAATACACAATTCTTCTTAAGTGCTGAAACTTAACTGAAAAGTGATTGCTGTTAAATGTAAGAGTGGGAATAAGAGAGGGAAGAGATGTGCAATTCGGGACATGCTCAAGCTGACTTACCTCAAACGGTAGAGTTAGAAACATACCAGGGGATTCCAATTCAATCCCATCAAGGTGGCATGTACCAATGCCATCTCACTAGTCCCAGTGATCAATTTCTGTTCACAATTGATCATAATGATAGGACTAAGAACCAAAGAGATCACATAAACAAAAATAATGTCTGCAAATACTAGCTGATAGAATAAAAAAGGGAGAGAATGATCCAACATGGGAAGTGAGATACGCAGCAGACCCATAGAATGGCAGATGTCCTAAACAGCACTCTGGCCTCAGAATCAGCCCTTAAGGCATGCGGATCCAGCTGAAAAGCCCATGAGACTATTTCAGGCATGGAAAGCCAAGACACTCTGGGGAAAAAAAAAAAATAAATGATCTCTGCGAGTGAAATCCCAGTGGAAAGAATGGGTCATCACAGAAGGAGGTATCTTTCTCTGAAGGGAGGAGAGAACTTCCACTTTGACCAGGGCCTTGTCTAAATATGATCAGAGTCAGTGAACTCAGGGGGCTTCCATAGCCTTGGCAGCTCATGAAAAGAGCCTAGGGTGATTACTGATGCCATAAACAAGAGTGTCAATTTGTTAAGTCAACAACAGGAGTCACTGTGCACTTACTCCTCATGTAGGATCTTTGTCCTTAGTGTGCTGTACATTGAGATTTAATGCTATAACTAGTACTCAAACAGTATTTTTCACTTCATGTTTCTGTGTGGGAGCAAACTGTTGAAATCTTTACTTAATGTATGCTAAACTGATCTTCTGTATATAAAGAGAATTGAAAATGAATCTTGATGTGAATGGAAGGGGAGAGGGAGTAGGAAAGGGGAGGGTTGCGGGTGGGAGGGACGTTATGGTGGGGAAGCCATTGTAATCCATAAGCTGTACTTTGGGAATTTATATTCATTAAATAAAAGTTTGAAAAAAAAAAAAAAAACAACAAACGAAACACTGGGGTTAAGCTGCAGCCTGTGAAGATGTATTCCATGTGGGCACTGGTTCAAATCCTGGCTGCTCCTCTTGCAGTTCAGCTCTCTGCTAATGTTCCTGGGGAAAGCAGTGGTAGATGGCCCAGGTGCTTGGGCCCCTGCATCCATGTGGGAGATGCAGAAGAAGTTTCTGGCTACTGGATTCAGCCTGTCCAACCTCCAGCTGTTTTGGCCATTTGGGGAGTGAACCAGAGGCTGGAAAATCTCTTTCTTCCTGCGTCTCTCTCTCCTCTCTCTCTCTCTCTCTTTCAAATAATAAATAAATAGTTTTAAAAAATACCACACAAACCTGGTGTTTGGGTACACCAAGGCAAAATTACTAAATATTAAATATACTATATATTATCAGGGCCGGCGCTGTGGCGCAGCAGGTTAACAACCTAGCCTGAAGCGCTGGCATCCCTTATGGGTGCCAGTTTGAGACCTGGCTGCTCCACTTCCGATCCAACTCTCTGCTATGGCCTGGGATAGCAGTAGAGGATGGCCCAAGTCCTTGGGCCCCTGCACTCACATGGAAGACCCTGAAGAAGCTCCTGGCTTCGGATTGGTGCAACTCCAGCCGTTGCTGCCAAATGGGGAGTGAACCAGTGGATAGAAGACCTCTCTCTCTCTCTCTTTGCCTCTCCTCTCTCTGTGAAATTCTGACTTTCAAATAAATAAAATCTTTTTAAAAATACATATTATAAAGTTAAAATATTACTTTCAGATTTACAGCAAATTGAGAAGTTAACTACTTGTCATCAAAAAAAAAAAAAAAAAAGAAGAAAAAGAAGAAGAAAAAGGAAACAAGAGAATGAAGGGAAATACTCAAATTGCTGAAATAAATGTTGAGCCAACCTAGAAGTCTACAGCTAGGTGAAATACTTTTTGACAATATATATAGAGAAGTTTTAAGACAATCAAAAACTGAATTCACATTACAGTAAATACCAAAGATTGCTCTTCAGGCAAAAGGATGTTGATGTCATATTCAAGCTCGTAGATCCATTAAAGAGCAAAAATGAACAATTTATATAGATGAATCTAACTAAATATTAACTACATTTAAAAAAACTCAATGTCGAATTTGAAAATTGAGATAAAATGGGACAGTTCTAAGGTAAATAAAACTGTTAAAACTGATAATAAAAAGTATAGTTACAACTTGCTGGTAAGTATTAGAGAAATTGAATTTGTAATTAGAAGTCTATGTACAAGATAAATTACAAGGCAAAGGGCTTCAGCAATGAATTTTTCGAAGCTTTAAAGAAGGTATAACACCTATCTTACATAAAATATAATAAATTACAAGTAGGGAACATGCCTCAGTTGATTCTGAATCCATTGAAAGTTTGATGCCAAAATATGAGGACATTGAAAAATGAAAGCTGTAGGCTAAAAATATTTACAGGTATAAATGAAAAATCTTACTCAATATAACTACCAACAGAAACTAGTGATACATAAAGTGATTACTATACCATGATAAGGTTCATTTTATTTCAGAAATGCAATTTCAGTTTAAAATTCCAGAGAATCACTGCATTTCTCCGCTTTCATCAAATAAAAGGCTGTATAATTAACTCAGCAGTGCATAAGAAGCATTTGATGACATCTGAATTCAATTCATGATTAAACCCTCTTAGTAAACTAAGAATAAAAGGAGTGTCCTCAATGTGATTAAAATAAAAACTCTAATGAACATTGTTTTTAATGATGAATATTGATAGCTTTTACTCTGAGTTTAGAATTAGGAAAAGAATGCTCACAATCACCACTTCTGTTAAGCTTTATATTGAAACTCATAGACCATTCATTAAAGAGAAAAATAGGAAAGTATAACAATCACAAAGAAATAAATTCATTATTTGCTGATGATCTGATTGTGGAGAAAATTTAGGAGGTTTTACATACATTATTAGAATGCATAAGTGAGTTATCCTAGTTGTTGACAAAAATGCCTTTATACAAAAATCTATTGTTTTCCTATATAGCAGCAATAAACAGAAAATTAAATTCTAAAAAATTATGATATCATTAAAACTCCCAAATACCTTGTAATAAATCTAATAAAAATGTATGAGATTTCTACATTAAAAATCTACATAGCTTTGAAAGAATATAAAGAAAATCAAAATAAGTGGAAGGTTATATGATGTTCATGGACTTGAATGCTCACTATTGTGACAGTGCAATTTCTTCCCCCAATTTTTATATAGATGCTAACCAACCTTTTATCAGGTTCTTCAAGGTGTATTCCAAAAGTGGATTTTGTAACATAAAGATGTGCAAAGGGCCAAGAATAGGCAAATCACATTTAAACAAGAACAAGATGGGGAGACTTGCTATATCAGATATCAAAACAATATAAAACTTCTGCAATGGATTATATGGTTTAAAAATAGGATTAGACACTTTTATTACTGCAACAAAACAGAACTCAGAAACAAACACAGGAACAGGGGACCTTAGGAGCAATAATGAGTATGAAGGATAGCAATGTCTTTTCAGTAAAGGGCATTGGGTTGATTGTATTTCCATATGAAAAATCAGTACATCAAACTATATACACAAATAATTTCCAGATTACTATAGGCCTTATGGCTAGGACAAAAGAATAACTCTTTGACAATCTCAGAGAGTGTCTTCATGAATTTACAGTATGAAAGATTTCTTAAATGAAGCAGAAGAGCCCCAGCCATATAGGAGAAATTTAATAAATTAGACTTACAAGCTTAAGGACCAGTGGGGTGTGTGTGTGTGTGTGTGTGTGTGTGTATGAAAAGGCACACCTAAGAATGAAAATGGGCCACATAGAGAAGTTATTACAACTCATTAACCAACAAAAGCTCCTATCTAGAACTCTCAGTATGAGCATAAAGATGTAAGATGGCTGGATAAAATCACTCTGAAAGATAACTTTTCAGTATATTGTAAAGTTGAACATCATTCATTTGGTTCCATACTTTAACCTCTAAGTGTGTGACTTCAAGAAAATTTTGCAGGCCTTTATTATACAAGAAAGCCCAGAGTAACATAGTTTATACTTTTCGTAGCAAGAAATAGTTTGAATGACCATCAAACGAAAAGCAGATAAATAAGTAGTTATATGGTTGTATAACATATTGCTGTATGTCAACCAAACAGGCAACTTATATGTACCTTTCTCAATACAGAACTTCACAATATTGACTGAAACAAGTGAGCTGCAAAAAAAGCAAATATACTAGGATGCCATTTATGAGAAGTTCAAAAAAAGCCAATATTGACTATTAGAAATTATAAATGCACACTGTTAAACCTATTTTGAAAGGCATAGTAACAATAAACAGACAAATCAGGATGCAATTTAAAATATCTAAATTTGGGGGCCAGCATTGTGGTGTAGTGGGTTAAATCACTGCCTGAATTGCTGGTGCCCCATACGGGAGTCCTGGCTGCTAATGCACCTGGGAAAGCAGTGGAAAATGGCCCAAGGGCTTGGGCTGCTACACCCTTGTGGGAGACCAGGAAGAAGATCCTGGCTCCTGGTTTTGGCCATTTGGGAAGTGAACCAAATTGAAAAATGTCTGTCTTTCTCTCTCTGTTAACTCTGTCTTTCAGATAAATGAAACGAGTCTTTGAAAACAAAAAAGGGTTACTTTCATCTTTAATACATGATCTGTAAGTTTTACTAAATAGATGCAAATAACTCTAGCCATTACTTTCACACATGCATAAAAGTATGCTGTTCTTTGAAGTCTGCTGACATTTCTGGCTTAGTTTTCATCTGGCTATTCAAAAATAACTTCAAGTGCATAAATACATCTATGCTCACCTGGGAGTGCTGCAGGACTATTCCAATTGCCCATTCAGGTCCTTCATTGATTCTGCAAAGTAGATTTGTTTCTGCTCTTCTTTAGAGAAGAACTCAGAGGAATTTAAATATAAATGCTGTAAGGAATATTAAAATGCTCTTAGGAAATGTTGGTGCAAAATGTTGAAGTCTTTGAAATTTGTCTGACTGATAGACTTGGAGGGAGACAGAGACTGAATGGTCTTAATTTGAACAATATGTAACTGGATTTACCTGTGGTTATTTTTTCATTTAGGATTTGAATTTGAACCATTGCTCTAAGGGCAGACAGGGGGCTGATGGGCAGTCAAGAGCAGTTTTGAAGCCTCACTGAGTTGCATACTGCACTATCACAAGGGTTATAAGGACCATCTAATTGGGCATTGCTATACAGTACACCTCTCTCCTAAGGCAGATATTTCAATCATTCTCCTCTCCTCTCTGTACCCTCACACATGTTTATTGTATGCCATGTCCTATTGATTCCACTCAGACACATCCTTTAAATCTTAGTTTAGGCCATGCTCATATCTCTGATGGACCATAACAGCTTACATTTAACTGGAACTATTATTAAAGATTTCTTACTCTATTGAGTGGAACCAAGCACAATTCTATTACATGGCTTTGTTCTCTAATAATAAGTTCAATTTCCCTGAGGAGTTCCAGAACATCTTCCACAACGCTCCACAAAAATCTTTCTTTGACTCATCTGATCATCTTCTTTCCCTGGAGAAGAACTTCAAAAGTTGACTATAAAATAGTCTAAGCTCTATTACTTTACATAGACATCTTTCCCCATCTTGTCTTACTTTTCTCACTATCTCTGGCCCTTTTCCAACCCGGGACACCTGCCCCCATCTACACTGTAGCAACTTCTAGTGACTCCCTCTTCTTCAAATACACTGAAAAGGTATTTCAAATGGCATTAAAAAATAAGTTTATGTTGGTGAAAAAATTTGAAATATATGCATATGAGAGCTCTTCACAAAGTTCATGGGAAATGTCTATGATGGAGAATCCATATATGCATTACAACATTTTTTTTTTTTTTTTGACAGGCAGAGTGGACAGTGAGAGAGAGAGACAGAGAGAAAGGTCTTCCTTTGCCGTTGGTTCACCCTCCAATGGCCACCGCAGCCGGCGCGCTGCGGCCGGCACACCGCGCTGATCCGATGGCAGGAGCCAGGAGCCAGGTGCTTTTGCTGGTCTCCCATGGGGTGCAGGGCCCAAGCACCTGGGCCATCCTCCACTGCACTCCCTGGCCACAGCAGAGGGCTGGCCTGGAAGAGGGGCAACCGGGACAGAATCCGGCGCCCCGACCGGGACTAGAACCCGGTGTGCCAGCGCCGCTAGGCGGAGGATTAGCCTAGTGAGCCGCGGCGCCGGCCCGCATTACAACATTTTACATGAACAAAAGCGTATCTTTTAATTCCATTTTCCCTGAACTTTGGAACTCTTGTATGCCCTTTTCTGTCTGTAAGCCATCATATGTGACGTTCCTTCCAGCACTAATGCACTTCTTGTTACCCATTTACCTGTCCAACCTGATGATTCTCCTCATCAGTCAAGGTCCAGTTTAAAATCTTTCTTTCTGAGATGGGCCCTTAGCCTAGTGGTTAAGATACCCATTTGGGGGCCGGCGCTGCGGCTCAGTAGGCTAATCCTCTGCCTGCAGCATGGGCACACCAGGTTCTAGTCCAGGTCCGGGCGCCGGATTCTGTCCCGGTTGCCCTTCTTCCAGGCCAGCTCTCTGCTGTGGCCCGGGAGTGCATTGGAGGATGGCCCAAGTGCTTGGGCCCTGCACCTGCATGGGAGACCAGGAGAAGCACCTGGCTCCTGGCTTCAGATCAGCGCAGTGCGCCGGCCGCAGAGACCATTGGAGGGTGAACCAACAGTAAAAGGAAGACCTTTCTCTCTGTCTCTCTCTCTCACTGTCCACGCTGCCTGTCCTAAAAAAAAAGATAACCATTTGGGATACAGCACTGATAGTCCAAGTAATTGGGCTCCTGCTGCCCATAAGGGAAACTGAGATTGAGTTCCTATATCCCAGCTTTGGCTGACTCAATTTTGGTCATTGTGGCCATTTAGAGAGCGACCCAACAGATGGACAGTCTCTGTTTCTGCCTCTCAAATAAATAAATCATCCTAGGATAGATTTGTTGCTTTCATTAGTTCATGGCTATGTATGTGTTTCCTGTATCACATTGTTAATAATTTTTTACTATGTGTGTCTCTTAATTGTGAGATCACTAAAGTTAAGTAAATTGCTTTCTTTTCCTGTGTATATTAAAATGCTTAATAAGATCTCTATAAATTATTTATGACTGTGTGGGTGATCCTGTGCCTGGCTGGGAGACTGCCTGCCTAGCCCATGCAGGAGGTTAGGAGGGTGTGGCACACCAGGCCTCCTGGGGTGGCCTGCCTCCTGGCAGGCAGCAGGAGCCCCAGGCACATTTCCCCCATCCCTCCTCCCAGTTGAAGGGCCTCAGAATTACCAATCAGGTAAACAGCTCCTGGGTGCGACCCAGGCCCATCAGGACCACCTGGAAAGCTACTAGGCTGTGTGATCTTCAAGCTGATTGGTGAAGCATAGCGGCACCAATATCAGCTTTATCCTATAGAATTAGTGCTGCGCTAAATTAGCTACGCCCCCTTTGCCTGCCCTTTGAAAGGTGTGCTTGATTGTTAATAAACGGTCATGTTCACCGAAATTTGTCCCTGGTACTTCTTGTTGAAGAACGCCATCGCCCCACCGTCCTCACAGTGTGGGCCTCGCAGGACAAGCCCACATGACTGAATAAATGGAAATCCTTATTTCTAAGAACGAGGAACTCAAGGTAAGTGCTAATAAAAACACATGTGCAAAAAAAGACTTCATCAATAGAATAAAAGATAAAGGCTCAAGTAGAAAGCAGTTCATGCTGAAGTGGGCATTTGGGGTAGTTGCAAAATCATTATTTGGGATGCTCTCAATCCATATAGGAGTTCCTGATTGGAAATCTGGCAACTCCACTTCTGATTTTCAGAGGTAGTTGATCGTAACTCAAGCCCTTGTTTGCTGTCACTCACATGGAAGACATGGACTATGTTCTGGGTTCCTGGCTTTGGCCTGGCCCAGCCCTGACTTCTGTGGACCAGACTGTTGCAGGCACTTGTGTAGCAAAACAGCAAATGAAAGATGTTCTCTCTCTCCCTCTCTCTCACACACATACACACACATACAATGAAAGTAAATAAATAAAAAATATAAAAAAGAACGTGCTACATTCACATGCATGCTACACATTCACTTCAATAGTGGATAAATTTCTATCTATTATCTGTGTGTTGAGTATGTCAAAGGACAGAGTAAAGGTTAGAGAACAGAAGGTAAAGCCTTAAGTACCTGCCCCGGCAATGAGAATTCTTTCACTTTCCCTGCAAGGGTGGCTGACGAAAAATGTTCAAGTGCCCTTTGAATAGCATCAGAGGAAGATATCAAAGAAATAGCCAAGTAGGTGGTTAATCTGTTGACATTATTAAAAGGTCTTTCTCAAAACTTGGAGCACCAATGAACTTCCACTAAATAGTTTTGAACTATTTTATTCAGATACTTCCATACTCTGTTGGAGGTTGCACTGGCCTTTTTGGATTTGAGCACATGATTTTGAAAATTACTGTATCTTTAAAATGATTGCAAGGTCATTGTCTGTTGGATAAATGACATTCACATAAATGGTGTTGGTAAAATGAGTTACCCAAATGTGACAAAATTTAGGGGGTTTTAATGACATATATGAGAATAATAAATACTCAAAATTTATTATTAATTTGTGTAAGCTAGGCCAGATAGGACAAGTATATTTTTTAAAGGAGTGTAAACTGTTTTGCTTTTTTTTTTATAGAAAGCTTTTATTTAATAAATATAAGTTTCATAGGTACAACTTTTGGATCGTAACAGTTCTTCCCCCCCATACCCGCCCTCCCACCCCCAAACTGTCCCATCTCCTACTCCCTCTCCCATCCCATTCTTCATTAGGATTCATTTTTAGTTATCTTTATATGTAGAAGATCATCTCTATACTAAGTAGATTTCAACAGTTTGCACCCACATAGATACACACAGTATAAAGTACTGTTTGAAGACAAGTTTTACCATTAATTCTCATAATACAACTCATTAAGGACAGAGGTCCTACATGGGGAGCAAGTGTACAATGACTCCTGTTATTAAAAATTGACACTCTTATTTATGAAGTCAGTGATCACCCGAGGCTCTTGTCATGAGCTGCCAAGACTATGAAAGCTCTTGAGTCCACAAACTGACCTTATTTAGACAAGGCCACAATCAAAGTGGAAGTTCTCTCCTCTCTTCAGAGTAAAGGTACCCTCCTTCTTTGATGGCCCCTTCTTTTCACCAAGATCTCACTCACAGAGATCTTTCATGTAGGCCATTTTTTTTGCCATAGTGTCTTGGCTTTCCATGCCTGAAATGCTCTCCTGGGCTTTTTAGCCAGATCTGAATGCCTTAAGGGCTGATTCTGAGGCCAGAGTGCTGTTTTAGGGCATGGGAGAAATATATTTTCTACAGTAGAAAAGTATAAAATTCACATATTTTAAAACTAGGAAGGAGATAGGATAACTAGTAAACAGATTCTAGTTTTAGGTTTCCTCTTTCCTTTTTCCCCTGGTTCTGAAGGTGAGGTTGAGTAGACTTTTCTGTTTGTGTTTGTGTGTGTGTTTTGCCTATGGTCAAAGGCAAACATCCTGAGAAAAGTATTCGGGAAGAGCTTAGAAGCTGAAGACTCTTCACTGGTTACTTTATCACTGATGTATAGTTCTTCTACGGCTATGGAAGCATTTAAATTTCCTGAAATTTACTTTTTTAGCAATAAAATAATGAGAATTATATTAGCTGCTTATGGTCTTGTTCAAGGATCCACTGAGATGGAAGAACAGAAAAGTCATGGGCATTGGCTGAAGGCATCCCTTGCTTGATGGAAAATGTGCAGTTATAATAGTCCACATTTTGAAGAAGGAGGCTATTTTCTTCCCCTTTAAATACTGCTTTTTAAAAACTCGACAAACAATCTTAAAATAACTAAAGCCATAACTT